TTTGTCCTCAGCCTTGTTATGAGAACAATAAACTGCTTTTTGTATAGAGTATCACACACAAGTGTACACACACACACACACACACACACACACAGAATAGACAAAGTACACATCCCTTACAATCATCTACATAAACAAAAACACATTTTGCTTTTCAGCCTTAATGTTTTGGCATATTTTTTTGTTAGTGTGAGTTTGACTTGTCATAAAGTTTCTGGTTGATTTTGATCCTTTTTTCCACATTGTCATTTTGGGCATTATCAACACAAATGTAATTTTGAACCTCTCCTCAGAGCATATTTTGAAACAAAGAACTCCCTGATCACGCATCCTGCAGGCAGCTGTCAGGTCACTCAATTGGTCTAAGGGCATTCATATATATGTATAGTAAAATGATAACTAATGCCTCAACTTTTATTTCTACAAATGCATGTCAATTATATAAGAGACCTGAATGGCTGTGAATATAGTGCATACCCCCATGAAGGCCATCTGACAGAATACATCCAACTGTACAAACTCATAGATCTCACCACTACAACTCTGTCTGACTTGTGATATTGGTCCATCAAGTACCATTGATCCATCCATTCAACCGAGTCACACATTTGTGGTCAGACAGATCAAAAAGATCCACTGGTTAATGTGTAGATCATTCAGTGTTGAAGTGAAAGTGTGACAGCAGCTTATTCAACAAAGCAGTTTTTAAGGGTTTCAATGATTCTGGGAATTATTTAAATCCAACAAGATGAAATTGTCTGTTGGTGCTGATTGTAATGAAAGCAACATTTGATTATTTTCTCCAGCAACCATCATTCCATTTTTCTCCATATAACTTTGACTTAAATGGCTACATGGTTATATATATACTATATTTTAGGAGGAGATGAATTCATGGAAACGTAATTTGCCATGTGTGTATAGCTCACTTAGTTATTTTTCCATCCCTTTTATACATGTAATTATATACTTTTATATACTTTGGCCCACAATATTTACATTAAGTCATTTGTTTATGGATATTTAAGGCATTAGTATACATCACACAATGTATTATGGTCTATCAGGCTCCTGTTTTAATACCAGCAGTAATGAAATAGCCGGACTACACATCAAGCCAACCATTTATTGCTTGTTTTTGTGTGTGAATTTGACACTCTTTCTAAGTGTAGGTTTTTTTAATCTGTGTGTTGTGTATAATTATTTTTGCTCTGTGCAGTCTGAGTATGTTTGTTTGCGTATTCTGTTTCATGTGAGAGCAAACTGTGGATGTGTGCACGTGTGTTGTTTGCTCGCAGACACACACACTCACGCTGACAGCCTTATCAGGACAGGGAGTGTTACTATCTGTGAAAGGAGGCAGCTGGAGCATTTGAGCAGAACCTTGTGTGACAGTGTGTAACTCTCTCAGAGTAATGTCTTCCAAGCTGAGACCTAATAACTCATGAAGGATGTGGCTTCTGGGATTACCGTCGAGATGGCGTTATACTTTATTAAGCATAAACACATTGTCAGGATGTTTACCTGTTTTCTTTCTTTTATCTGTATGTTAAACTCAAAACTGCTCTTTACCAGAACAAGACAGCACCTACATGTCTATCACAGCCACATGTATCTAACATGGACATGACATGCAACAAATTACAAACTTTTTTCCCCTACAATTTTTCATCAATGTATATTATGTTATTTCAATGTCAATACATCAAATGATAATTAATATCTGCATTTTCAAAGCTGTCTTTAGAACACATTGCTCATTCCGGCCTTTCTTTTGAATATGTTAGTTATACGTTTAGTACCTTAGCCTTTATGTTACCAGTGGACTTTACACGCCCATGCGCAAAGTAGGATTACAGGAGCAAACTGTGTTTTACATGTGTGTGAATGCTAAGTAGGGTACATGCATATGAGTGCGTCTGGATTTCATTGAGGACAGTAGAGGACACTGTCTGTTAAGAGTGGAGAAGTGAAGGCAGAATGTCTCTGGAATACAGGCTCACTGTTAAAAGAGACACTGCCTGGCTGGATGTAGTGTTGAGGCATCGCAGGCGAGAGTGTGCAACGTTGTGGAATAATGCTTATTAAATCTCTCTGCCCTGTCGATCAGCTCTCTCAGTGTCTCATGCAAAGTCTCTCTCGGTCTTGCCCTTCTCTCTCTTGCTAACTACAGTTTAACACAGTGACACTACTGTTACCCTGTTGGAATTCCTTCAGGCACAGTTCCCCATCGCCTGGTTTTCATTCTCATTAAGTGCCGCACTATTTCTCTGAATAAGCCAAATTTAGATTTTACTAATGTAATGCAATCGCTCCACCTATAGTTAGAGTGAGTACGTTTTCACTAAGGTTGAGATGTTGCTTGGGTGGTGGTGTGTCCCATGTGCATCAGAAGGCACTCACTAGGCGACTGCACAGTGACGCCTCAATGAATCCTTATATTTGCTGATGCAGTGAAAACCCTATCAGAAATACTAACGTATATATTGCTGACATTATTTTTCAGCACCAAATACATCCACAGTAGAATTGTTAATGTAACTTGCATTTTAGAACATTGGGCAAACTGTAAAGAAAGCAAGATAATGACACTTATTGGTGAAAAAATTATAACTGTCCATATTCCTGGTATATTTGCTGAATAAATTGCTTTTGAAATTTAAAGCTATAAGTTAACAAAGCATTTTCTAGTGTTGATAGATTATAATGCATCTTTATTCTGGATAAAGAGTCAACAAAATAAACAATCAAATTTAATGGTGTTTACCCAATCCTTACTTAAATTCAGATATTTAGGTGAAAGATGGGATTTGACCAAATGTCATAAATTTAATGTGCAAACACATATATTGTGTCTGCTGTATC